TATTGAACACCACACTTAAAGGCATTGGTGCAGAAGATGAAAGCCTAATCTTATCTAGTTTACAAGGTGGTACTACTCCCTTAAACTTGAGAATGATACATGGGCATTAAAATAATTAGGAAAATCTTGTCTTGAGAATCTACCCTGGCTTCCAAAATTACAGTATTACTGAATAATCCTGTTTTTAAAAGTTAGATTTTTTTCCCCCAATCTTCTAGGAAAATTTGCAATCATCCATTCACAAAACATATCATACTCTAAATACTGAGACCAACAGAGTAAATATTCTGTGGTCAGAAATGTCAATGGGAAAACATCTTAATAATTATTTAATAAGTCATGTCACTATTGATTCACAGTTTTCATCCACACAATTACACTTAAAAAAAAATCTAGCATTGTCTTTGGATCATGGCTATGCCAAGGTGGGGGAATATGCTGCCTTCTTTGAGTTGAGTTTCCAGGCCTCATGAGGTTCCCCCTGTGGGAGTGCTGCTATTTCTAAAATGCAAATTATACATTTCCTAGATTTTCTATCTGTGGATTCGGATAAGGGAGGGAGGAGGGCCAAACTGCTTATACAATTTGGGATGGGCCAAAATGGTACTTCAAATCTTCTCATTGCTTCTAACTAAAAACAAATGCATTAAAAAAATCTAACAAAGAGAAAAAAATGTGTAAATGGTAAAATATATCTCATTTTAAAAATTGTATGACAATAATGACTCAATTATAGGTAATAATTACTGAATATATATTTTGTGCCAAGTACTACTGGTATGGAAAAATCTCAAAGGCATATTTTAAGTAAAAAATACAAGTCAGAATAAGTATAGAATGATACAAATTTACATACATAAAATGTTTATTTGAAGAAATATATGTACGTGTTTATTAAATGCATAGAAAAAGAACCAAGTTAACAGAAAACAAATTGTTAACCATGGTCTATGGTTGTGTCTGAAAATAAGGAATGAATCAGTTAAGAGACTGAAGTTGAACATTCACATAGTTTTATGCTGTGTAGCTGGCTAGAATGTTTTCATGGATTAGTTGCATACGTTTTTTTCAGTGAAAAAATAAATTGAATCATTAAAATATATGTTTAAGTGATTTAATAAGAAGGTTTTCATTATGATTCTGGAGGGAGAAAATGATAATCCAGGTCATTAAATGTGTTGGTGTCAAGCATTCAGTAACATTCATTTCTGAATCTCTGCTATCTGACAATTAAAAGCTATTTGCTCAGAAAAAGAACTAGCACATAGCAAAATGGTCTGTTGCTAGGATTCCAGATTGGACTAATGTAGAAAATTTTGAGGAAAATAATACAAAAGAGGTTCTATTTACACAGCATGAAATGTAGATATTCAAGAAGGGTCAGCTGACATAAAATGGAAGTTGCAAAAAATAATTTGACAAGCAATTTGAGTTTTTTTCAGTTTTGAAGAAAATGTCTTCGAAAATTTAATCCTGATTTAGGGAAGCGAAAACGTCTGCATGTTATGCATCATGAATCAACTCACCTAAAAAGGATATTTGAAGTTATTTCAGGTACTCTTTAATTTGTGATTTTTTTTTTATTTAGAGGGCAAAATAACATTTAGATGAAAGAAATTTTCCAAGACATTAATTTCAATGTTATTTTTAATATGTCCTTTATGAACTTTTATCATTTATTGGTGAAATTGATTTTATTCAAAGCAGATAAATTGCATTTATTCTTTTTATTTTTAAAAATGTATTATTTATTGGGATCCCTGGGTGGCGCAGCGGTTTGGCGCCTGCCTTTGGCCCAGGGCGCGATCCTGGAGACCCGGGATCGAATCCCACGTCGGGCTCCTGGTGCATGGAACCTGCTTCTCCCTCTGCCTATGTCTCTGCCTCTCTCTCTCTCTCTCTGTGACTATCATAAATAAATAAAAATTTAAAAAAATATTAAAAAAATAAAAATAAAAAAAATAAAATAAAAATATTTTATTTATTTATTCACTCATGAGAGACAGAAACACAGGCAGAGGGACAGCAAGCTCCATGCAGGGTCTCCAGGATCACGCCCTGGGCAGAAGGTAGTGGCTACACCACTGAGCCACCCAGGGATCCCCAATAAATTGCATTTAAAAAGAGATGCTACAACCACAAGACAGACTACAAATGGTATTTTGCTTACTTTCCTTTGTGGATTTATGAAATTATTTTAAATGTCTTACAGGCACTTATTGATATAGAAAATACTTTTTGATATTCATTTTGTTTATGCTACTTTTAGGTATCTTGATTTATTTATACACTAATTTAGTCAGCATACATAATTTTTAAAATGCTATTTGACCACATATTTAGCTTTTTCTTTTTGTATACTTTGTAGCTCTTCTTTGATACATGTACATATAAATGTATGTATCACATTTCTTTTAATTAACATCTATTGAAAGATGTCATGAAAAATACATACCAGTAAATGTGCAATGAGAAACTTGTTCATAATTTGATGTTTATTATAATTTCAGTAAAATACTGTCTATATGAAGTTGTTTAAAAACTGTTGTTTATTTTTAAAGATTGTATTTATTTATTTGAGAGAGAGAGCACAGCAAGGAGAGTGGCAGAAGGAAAGAGAGAGAGGCAGAAGCAGACTCTCCTGAGCATAGAGCCTGACATGTGGCTTGATCCCAGGACCCTGAGATCATGACTTGAACTGAAGTCAAATGTTTAACTGACTGAGCCACCCAGGTGCCCCAAAAGTGTTGTTTATTTAATAAACATCATTTAGTTCAGGATTTTTATCAATTTATTTCCCTGGTAATTATTATTAATATAACCAATATAATTTGATCTTTCATATATTTTAAGAAGCACATTTCTTTATAAATCATAAACATTTACAGTCACTGTATATTTTTACTATATATTTTATATTGATGAATTTCTTTTTATGTTGGAAATGACCTCAGAATAGTGAAAGGAAGTTCTTTATTGATGTCTTTTATTTTCATCATAGCCTTTCATCCAAAATAATCTACTTAAGATCACTTAAATTTAGGTTACTTTTAACTACTCTGTTTATACAATAGTTTCCTAGACAAGAATCACTGCAAAACAAAAATCAAAACAAAATAAAAAAACCTCTAGGCAGCACAGTTATTATTATTAACATCATCATCATCATCATCATTATTATTTGTATTAGAATGCCTGAAGAGTAGCATTAAACATACTTCTGCATAGGAAGAACTATCAATGCATATAAAGTTTTTGTATGTAATGATAGTCTGGGAGAAATGCAAGTAGGTATTTCATCATAAATATCTTGCTGCATTTTTCTTTATAGTATAGCAAATGGAAGGATATTTAAATTAATCCTAATATATTCATATAATGAAACTATATGTAGATATAAAAGTTAAATTTGGGCACATTTTGATGATATGAAAGCAATTACCTTAAATATTAAAATTACAGGTGTAGCAGTCTTTAATGTACAATATTTTAGACCATTTTTAAAGAAGAAGAGATAGAGACAGGAAAAGAGGCAAAAATCTCTCATGTCTCCTCCTCTTACAACACCAGTCCCTATTGGATTAAGGCCCTATCCTTAAAACTTCACTTCACCTTATTTGCTTCTTTTTTTTTAATTTTTTTTATTTATTTATTATAGTCACAGAGAGAGAGAGAGAGGCAGAGACACAGGCAGAGGGAGAAGCAGGCTCCATGCACCGGGAGCCTGATGTGGGATTCGATCCCGGGTCTCCAGGATCGCGCCCTGGGCCAAAGGCAGGCGCCAAACCGCTGCGCCACCCAGGGATCCCCCTTATTTGCTTCTTGAAAGGCTCTGTCTCCAAATACAGACACATTGAAGTTAGGGCTTTTACATAAGAGTTTGGGGATGGGACACAAATCAGTGACAACATGACTTATATCATCTACAAAATTCACTCCAGCTTTGAAATTCTCCCCTTTTCTCCTACAAACGTTAAATGCTCCCAGGAAGCTTTTCAGCATATAGATCTACTGAGACTTGGGTTAAGAAAATAAAGTATCAAATTGCCAGATAGCAAACAAAATAGAAATGATAAATTTCTGCCCATTGTTTTCTTATTCTTCTTCACAATACCCACCAATGGCCTTTTTTTAAGGACTCTGCTCCCCTTCTTAATGAACATTATTTCTTCTCTGAGCAGCCCCCAAATTGTTAATAGCATGTAAAGGGTAATGTAGACACATCTTTCTTGGCTTCAAACAACACAGATAAGGCCCACAGCACTTTGTTTTCACAAAGATCCATGGATTAATCTCTAAATAACATTTTTTCCTACCTTCCTTGCATAGTTTCTAAGAGAAACAAAGTAAAATATTACCTTAAAATATTTTATTAAAATTATTTACATTCTATGTTTTATTGCTATACAGAATTTGATATTTATGAATCAAATGGCACATATCCACAGTTTTTAATTCTTGTTGCATTATATCCCATAGTACAACATTACTACTTAACTTTAAATGAAATACCATACATTTCACAAACTACGTATGTGTAATTAAACTGGCCATATAGGGGATTCCTGGGTGGCTCAGCGGTTTAGCGCCTGCCTTTGGCCCAGGGCGCGATCCTGGAGTCCCACGATCGAGTCCCACGATCGAGTCCCATGTCAGGCTCCCGGCATGGAGCCTGCTTCTCCCGCCTCCTGTGTCTCTGCCTCTCTCTCTCTCTCTCTCTGTCTACCATAAATAAATAAATAAATAAATAAATAAATAAATAAATAAATAAATAAATAAATAAATCTTTAAAAAATAAATAAAAAATAAAAATAATAAATAATAAAAATAGTAAACTGGCCATATAGCAATGATTTGCATTTCCTGACACGTGGAGGTTTATGTCTATTGGAGCATAAATTTATCACTGTTAACCTGACTATTGCAGATTATAAGGTTCCTTTAAACTCAAAAGGCCCAAAACAGTACATGTCCATTTATTTATCTTAAAACATATCACTAGCTTTGTGCAGTGGTAGTATCATAACCAATGAGGTTTACCTGAGGCATGATTATTGCTAATTAAAACATATCACTAGACAATTTACAAATTAAATAATTATGTATGTTGTTTCATTTATGTATTATTGTGTAACAAAGCACTTTAATAATTCCTGGTTGGAAACAATAATCATTTGTTTGGCTCACAAAATCTTCGATTTGGGCAGGACTTATGGGGAATAGCTGGTCTTTGTTCCATGCATGGAACATACATAATTATTTAATTTGTCAGGTTATAATTTTCTTTGCCTTGGATATCTACTATTTTTGGCTGAAAATAATATTTTGTCAAGCAACTCTGGAATGTGATTTATTTTATTTTTGAGGGGTTTTGTTTTCGTTGTTTTTTAAGATTTTATTTATTCATGAGAGACAGAGAGAGAGAGAGGCAGAGACATAGGCAGAGGGAGAAGCAGGCTTCCCATAGGGAGCCTCTTGTGGGACTTGATCCCACATACCCTGAGCCGAAGGCAGATGCACATCCACTGAGCCACCCAGGCTCAGTCTCATGTTTTTGTTGTTGTTTATGTGTTTTGCTAACTTGTCTAAATTTGAATTGTGATATTTGTTTCCCCTGCATTGTTTCCTCCAAGCTGATATCTTGCATCAGATTTTATAATTGTAATTTATATTTTTTTGCCTGCTTCCTGAGGAAACAGACCTCTACTTGCATAGTGTAATGGCTGACCAATATATTGGCAAATGTGATCAGATGCTTCAAGTTCTACTGACTAAGCTATATATTGATTGAAGAAGACATCAAAATTTCAGGCAGTTCTCAAGTATCTCTTAAGTCATACTTTGCTGTGCTCTCTCGGGTCTCCTGAATATAAGAAATAGTTTATCAGGTAGCTAGGAATATGTGAAAACATTATCTTAGCCCTATGGATTTCTACTTCCAGATGCTTCCAATTAGATTTCTGCTGGACTGTCAAATACTCCAAAATAGACTGGAACACTGGAGTCTTCCCTGTCTTGACTTGTGACATTGATTTTTATCCCCCATTCTGAACTGAGTCTTCCATTTCTAACAACTACAGATGTTTATTGCCCTGCCAAGAATCTAATGAGCTGGTGGGAGCAGGATACAATGGACAAAGATTCATTTTCTTACACAAAGTTGAAACAATATTTAAGAAGTAATTCTTCCCATATTTTCATCTTCCATTTATCATATACTTCAAGTACCCTTAAATAGTTGATCTAGAAAATTGCATCCCAGATTTTCTTGTTTTCTGCAAAGAAATTATGTTACCTCTTCATATGGCCCTTACCAGAAGACGTCTAAGCTATTTACTCAACTCAAAAAAGAAAGTTTCTTTCTTTTTTTTTTCTTAAGATTTGTCTATGACCTCACATATTGTGTTTTAGGGAGTATATTCCATGTGCACTTGAGGAAAAAATGTATATTCTGCTGTTGCTGAATGAAGTGATTTGTATACATTTGGTAGATATAAGCATTTCCGTTTTGATTATCTGTCTGGTTGTTCTACCCATTATGGAAAGTGGGATATAAAGTCTCCTACTATTCCGGTAGAGCTGGGGTTTTTTTCCCCTACATTTCTGTCAATATTCACTTCACATATTTTGGATTTCTGATGTTTGATGCACATATGATTATAATTTTTGTGCATATATGATTAACATCTTCTTCGTGAATTGATCCTTTTGTCATTATATACTGTTCTTGGTCTCTTGTGACAATTTTTTTCTTGTAACAATTTTTGACCTAAAATCTATTCTGATATTAATAATACTATCCCTGTTCTCCTTTCATTACTATTCACACAGAATTTTTCCCCATTCTTTCACTTTCAATCTATGTGCTTTCACTTTAGAGCTAAAGTGTGTTTCTTGTAACAGATAACATATTGTCTAAATCCTGCATTTTTTTTTATACATTTTGCTAAATGATATCTTGTGACTGGGGAGTTTATCCATTTACAATTAAAGTAATTACCGACAGGGAAGCACTTACTTTTATGATTTTATTTGTTTTCAATATGTCTTATAGCTTTTGGGTCTTTTTTCCCCATTATTGCTTTCCTTTGTGTTTAGTTGATTTTTCTGTAGTGATATACTTTGATTATCTTCTTATTTCCTTTTGTGTATATTCTATATATATTATCTTTACGATTGCCTTGAAGATTACATATGACATCATAAAGTTGTGATAGTCTGTCTTAAATTGATACCAATATAACTTCAATTGCATATACAAAATCTCTATTTCTTGATAGTTCCACTCCCCCAGTTTATGTTACCTATGTCACCATGTATGCCTTTATTTCTGGCACAACTATTCACATTATTTGTAATCTTTAAAAATATATTTGTCTTTTAAAAGTTGCAGAAAATAAAAAGAGGAGTTACAAACAAAATTACATTAATACTGTTTCATATATATATATATATATATATATATATATATATATACAGGTACTTATCTTTACTGGAGAATTTTGTACTTGTATATTGCTTCAAATTACTGTCTGTGTCCTTTTACTTCAACTTGGAGGATTCATATTATCATTTCTTATAGGGAAGATCTAGTGGTAATAAACTCCTTCATCTTTTGCTTGTCCAAGTATGTCTTAAATTCTTCATTTTTGAAGGACAGTTTTGTCAGAGACATAACTCTTAGTTAACAGTTTTCTTCTTTCAGTATTTTAGATATAGTATACCATTATCTTCTGAACTGCAATATTTCTGATGAGAAATCCATTATAAGTCTTATTGGGGATTCCTTTTATGTGATTATCAATTTTTCTTCCTGCTCCAAGATTCTCCCTTTGTGTTTGGCTTTTGGCAGTTTGATTACAATGTGTCTCTCCGTGGGTCTCTGGACTTACTTTACTTGGAGTTTTTTAAGCTTCTTGGGTGTTTATTTTCATGTATTTCATTAATTTGGTAAGTTTTCAATGATTATTTCTTCAAACAATCTCTCTGTTCCTTTCTCTTTCACTTGTCCTTCTAGTACTCCCATCATGTGCATACTGAACAAATTGCTGATGTTGCATAAGTCCCTGATGCTTTACGAACTTTTCTTCATTTTTTTTTCTTTTGACTTCTTAGACTCAACAATTTCAAATTAACTGTCTTCAACTTTGCTACTTCTTTCTTCTGAATATTTACTCTGCTGTTGCATCCCACTAGTAAATTTTTGAATTCAAGTATTATATTTTTATCTCTAGAATGAATTTGATTCATTTTTGTCACTTCTATATCTTTGGTTGACATTCTTATTTTGTTCATGAATTCTTTATTTCCTTTGATTCTTTTTCCATTTTTTTTAGCTCTTTGAGGATACTTAAAACAGTTGTTTAAAAATCACTATCTAATATGTCTTGTGTGTTTTTCTTCAAGACTATATCTGATTTGTTTTGTCGGCGATTGCTCTGTTTCTCTGTACGCTTTATTATCTTTTGTTGAAAATTAGTATTTGAAGAAACAACAAATTCTCCCAGTCTTTCAGTCTGTGGAAGATCATTACTAATCACCAAACTCCTAAACCTTGACATCAGCCTGATGTCAGGGCTTAAGATCTGCTCAGGTATATTTCGGTCATATGTCCTGTCTGGACCTGAATGTGTGTGCACTTGCTTCTTTTTCTAATTTCCCTCATCTGTTTTGAAATGACTTAATTTTCCAAAGAGTCTCACCCAGCATCTCCTCAGAACCATAGTTAACCTAATATATTCCTTTGCTCATAATGTCTTGCTCTGTAGGTCTGAAGTCTTCTGTAAGTTTTCCAGTCTGAGGTCCTAGCAATCCTGCCACTCCTGTCTGATTTGCAAGTCAGGCAGGATAGCTACGGTCCCTCAGGCAGCCAAGACAGGCCAGAAAATGGCAAATATTTTCTACTCTACTTTTTGTGATCCAAGTCAAAGAATCTTCCAGTTGCACAGTGCTGGGGAGGCAGTGGAAGCAAGGGTAAATAAAAATGCCATGAAATGTCCTATCATTTTGAATAAGATTTTTTCTTGTTCGGGCATTTGCTTAGTTGCCATAGATTTTTTTCCCTGTTTTCTAGAGCTCCGATATGTATTTGAGTCAGTGTGTTGTTGTTTTTTTGATGTTTATGTTTGGAAGTAAGAGCCTGCAGCTTCCTGTCAACTTAGTTTCTTAAATTTAACCTAAGACACTATGGAAAGAACATAGTGACTTCTCATCTTCACTGGTTACTATATGCCAGATTCTTTAGTTATGTGTTCTCCTCAGGGCAAAAAAAGTACTTTACTAGAGCAAAACAATCTCTCAATATATTACTTTGCATGGGGGAATTCAGGTTGCCAGCATCTTTTTTTTTTTTTTCTACTGAAACATACTCAACAGGAGCACTAGTGCGATGTGATTTCTACATATATATGACTTTAATCTCTTGTTACTTAGAAATAAGTGCTCTTTCACAAGCAGAGTGCTCAATGCTGTCTATTTAGGACTGAAATAACATTTGTCTTTACTCATGTGGAGATGCTTGATAACTCACTTATATCTACCACATTCTCCACAGTCATGAAGCTTTAACACAATAGATGAATCTACTTTAGATTTCTTTTGAACTTCCTCTCTGATTGCTTCTAGTGTTAAATTAGGAAGATGTTAATAGCATTAACTCACAACATAAAATAAGTCATGTTTAGACCATTAGTCTGTGTAGCATATTTGAACATATTTCCTATTTTTAAAGTTAAAATAAACAGCATACTAGTATAAGCCTCAGGCCATCACATATCTTTGTTACCATGGTTACAGTTTTCACTGGTATATGGCAGATATTTCTCAGTAGGAAGAACTATACATAAGCCTTTGTAATTCATATATAAGATACACACACGAATATATGACATATATATACACACACACATGAATGTATGACAAGGCTGTATAGTATAGTGGTTAAAATTATGGATTCTAGCACTAGTCTTTCTGAGTTTAAATCCTAGATCTACCACTTGATCCATCAGCAACCTTGGAGACAGTACTTAACCTTGTCTGTAACTCATTTCTTTCAGGTGTAAAAGATTGACGAAAGTAGTATGCAACAACATTTTGTTACTAGAATTAAATTACTTGGTACCTACAAAATGCATAG